ACAGTCTCTGTCACCAGAAGAGTGCACATTAGAAACCAGGCCAACTCACATCCTGAAAGAAAGACAGGCCAGTATGTCACCAGAAGAGTGCACATTAAAAACCAGGCCAACTCACCCACTGAAACAAGACAGGCCACAGTCTGTGTCACCAGAAGAGTGCACATTAAAAACCAGGCCAACTCACTTCCTGAAAGAAAGACAGGCCAGTATGTCACCAGAAGAGTGCACATTAAAAACCAGGCCAACTCACCCACTGAAACAAGACAGGCCATGGTGTGTCACCAGAAGAGTGCACATTAAAAACCAGGCCAACTCACTACCTGAAAGAAAGACAGGCCACAGTCTCTGTCACCAGAAGAGTGCACATCAAAAACCAAGCCAACTCACATCCTGAAAGAAAGACAGGCTAGTATATCACCAGAAGAGTGCACATTAAAAACCAGGCCAACTCACACCTGAAAGAAAGACAGGCCAGTATATCACCAGAAGAGTGCACATCAAAAACCAAGCCAACTCACAAACTGAAGCAAGACAGGCCACGGTCTGTGTCACCAGAAGAGTGCACATGAAAAACCAGGCCAACTCACTTCCTGAAAGAAAGACAGGCCACAGTCTCTGTCACCAGAAGAGTGCACATTAGAAACCAGGCCAACTCACATCCTGAAAGAAAGACAGGCCAGTATGTCACCAGAAGAGTGCACATTAAAAACCAGGCCAACTCACCCACTGAAAGAAAGACAGGCCACAGTCTGTGTCACCAGAAGAGTGCACATTAAAAACCAAGCCAACTCACATCCTGAAAGAAAGACAGGCCAGTATATCACCAGAAGAGTGCACATTAAAAACCAGGCCAACTCACCCACTGAAAGAAAGACAGGCCATGGTCTGTGTCACCAGAAGAGTGCACATTAAAAACCAAGCCAACTCACAAACTGAAAGAAAGACAGGCCACAGTCTCTGTCACCAGAAGAGTGCACATCAAAAACCAGGCCAACTCACATTCTGAAAGAAAGACAAGCCACAGTATGTGTCACCAGAAGACTGCACAATCAAAAACCAAGCCAACTCACCCCCTGAAACAAGACAGGCCACAGTATGTCACCAGAAGAGTGCACATCAAAAACCAAGCCAACTCACAAACTGAAAGAAAGACAGGCCACAGTCTCTGTCACCAGAAGAGTGCACATGAAAAACCAGGCCAACTCACTTTCTGAAACAAGACAAGCCACAGTATGTGTCACCAGAAGACTGCCAATCAAAAACCAAGCCAACTCACCCCCTGAAACAAGACAGGCCACAGTGTCACCAGAAGAGTGCACATTAAGAACCAGGCCAACTCACATCCTGAAACAAGACAGGCCACAGTCTGTGTCACCAGAAGAGTGCACATTAGAAACCAGGCCAACTCACCCACTGAAACAAGATGGGCCACAGTCTGTGTCAACAGAAGAGTGCACATTAAAAACCAGGCCAACTCACCCCCTGAAACAAAGTACATCATGATCACCAGAATAGTGCATGAGAAAAGGAAGGCAAGAGAATGAGTCACCAGAAGAGGGAATAATTGATAGGGAAACATCTTACCGCCTAAAAATAGTAGGTTCAGCACAGAATTGAGTCAGAACAAAAGAAATCATAATTACTTACCCACTAAAAAAATCTGTTATAGGCATATAGAGGCATTGTAAATAGACAACATCTCACCGCCTGGATTTATAAACAAGCATATCAGCTGTATAAGCAGCATGATCAACAGTTATTACTTACCATCTGAAAGAAATAGACAGCTGATGATAAGATGTGATGTATCATGTAAAATAATTGCCCACAAACTAGTGAGAACTATTAGAATATATTAAAACTTGATCAATTTGAAGACATACATTCTGCAAGAAAAAACGACAAGAAGAATAAAACTCTCCTTTGCTGGGTAATTGTTTTGTTCTTACTTTCTGTTCTTTATCAACACCCATAAATTGTTATTGTGGCTTGGCTTACATGCTGTAAAATGGGTCAATATTTTATTTTGATACTTTATAGGTACACATACCTCCTTTTCAACTTACTGGTTAAATTTTGAGCAGTATTATTTTCTGGTTACTTACTGTCTGTTGGAAGATCTTGATAAATCAGTGAATATATCCCAATATTATAAAGTCTTACTTCATGAAAATCAATAACTTGTTGAAATAGCTCTGTCAAATTTCTTGTAGCAATTGACCCCTGTGATGTCTTGTACATGTTAGAGTGTGATGACCATCATAAAATTGTAATTACTAACTTGAAACAAATCCTTTGCCTTTCTCATGGACTTTAACACCCTCAGTCTCCCACGAGTTCCAAAAGTCACCATGGTATTATACCATGTCTTACTATGAAATGTCAGTAAAATTTTGATGAGAGTTACCAAAGAGGTCATGATTGTTTCATCCACATTTAATGTCTGCTTGCCCTCAAATCCTAACAGAATATGGTGTGGCCATTTATAGCAAGCATAGTTGGCGACATGAGCATCAAAAAAGTCCTTTGAAGGATATTTTGCCAGATGCTCCAAACAGTGTATGGCCAGATGAAGGTGTCGCAGAGGAGGATCAATGAAATATTGCTCTGATCGTGATTTGAGGGTCAGAAAATCTCGCAGAGATGTGTGATAGAGCATGATAGGCTCATTATCATCCCCAGGAATTTTGATAATTGACTGTACCCCCAGTAGCTCATGAATAACCTCCTCATGCTGAAGATTGAGGAGGGAGCTAAGAAAAGAGATGGATTTGTTATCCTCCAGAATCATGATTGTTCCAAGAATCTGATAAAGAGCCATTGTCCCAGAAGCAGAGGAAAGAATTTGTTTATAGAGTGGATCCAGACCAGCAGCTCCAGATTTCAAAAGTTGTTGCAATGCTTTGTGTGGCATGGAATCTCCTCCAACATACTGGATTAATGTCATAGCAAATGCAAATGAACTGCCAGCCTTGTCAAGGAGTAGAGTAAGATCATTGACTGATGGCCAGGGCTTTGGTATTTTCTGCATCATTTGACAATTCTCATTCAAGATACGAGCAAACTCCCTTTTGAAGTATACTTGAATATCTGAACAAGCATCAAAATTCCCCAAGTCCAGATAGTACAAAGAATGAGCCTCAGCATGAACAAATTTTTTCCGAATGTGTTCCTCCACCCTGCTGGTAAGGAGTATTCAAAAGGGAGGATAACTCCTTCCAGGAAATGCATGGAGCAAAATATCAATGAAGGCTGCCATTCCAGCCTTATCATTACATTCATCAAGAGCATCAATAACAAAGATCTTTTGCTTTGCCAGATGAGAGAAGACTTCGAAACTGGAGAGGACATTGGAAGTGGTGGAATGGATTGGTTCTATGATCAACTTCTGAAATTGGTGAGCTAAAGAGAAAGAAGGCCCAAGCAAGGCTGGCTCATCTTGAAGAGCCTTCTCAAGCAAAGGCTGAACAGCAGGCACAGAAAGATAGACCTGATGTGCAAGAGTAGGAATCAAGGAAGATATCTGACTCCGTTCACCAGCACCTCGAAGAAAGAAGAAGCACCCTAGAAGGCAACCCTCTTTGGCGTAGTGCTCAGCAATGGTTTGAGCCACTGCTGACTTGCCATAGCCAGCTGGTCCACTGAGCCAGCAGATAGTTCGCTCGTCAGAGCCGTTAAGCCACTGTTCAATCTGAGCGATGACATCTAGGCGGGTTCCAGGATCACATCGAGGAACGTGACCCGCGCGAGTATGGGTGGCGCCGCTGACAGGCCTAAGCAAGCCCGGAAGACCTAGATGTCATGAACCATTTGATAGTATTGGCGAATCATATAAAACCTGACGTACCTGCGGCAGATTGGCCATAAAAAACAATGTCGCGACCGGCGATATTGACCTGTGCGCTTCCAGAGAAGGTGGTTCCGATAGCGTTTGGCAAGAACGTGGCTGATGACGAAGATTCCATGAGTGAAATGACGTGTTGTAATATGAAAGTTTGCAAGGCTAAAGACGTCGATAGGTCGGGTCGTCGTCGTCGTTGATGAAGAAGAGGAGAAGTCAGTCGGAGATCAGTTGTGAGGTTCGTTGTCGGAATTCTAATCGGGCGACGAAACTCCTTCAGTGCTCCAAAAATGTACGACCAGGTCGCCCGAACAAGATCAAAATCTCCTACGCTGTATGACCTTCTATTTTCTTACCACTATAGCTCTCTGACTCGCATCTAACAGCTTGAATAGCAGCCCACCTCTCTGACAGAAAACAATGACTATACCTACGTCTGAAACGATGAGCAAGAAGCCTGATCAAAATCGAGCTCTGACAAAAAATCCCTGCCATCGACATCCACCCCACACCCCATTAATGCATTAACAGCCGTCCAACCCCATCCCCTTCACACCCGCTACCCTCTTCCTACTCTCATCATCATGATCTTTCTCTTTCTCTGACGCAAAACACGCGAGAAGAAGGCGAAGTATCATCCAGAACTACCCTCCACTCCATCTCCATACTCGTTCAACGTTCAGTCCTCAACGTTCAACGTCAATGTCCACCTCTTCCCCCGTCAACATTCCTCCCCAGCGATGGCTCAACCCTTCCCTTGCCCCCCCTCGCCTCTCATATACCCCAACGCCCTCCGCAGACACCCTTCCTTCCCTGGCATACGTGTGGCCTGCGTTTCTCAGACAGTCGCCATATCCCTTTGTTAACCGTAGGATCAAAACGTCGACGAGCCTCGGACTTGGCTGGCTTTTGGTGGTATATGACGCGGATGGGATTGGAGAGTCACCACGTGCAGCCGATGATATTACCCCCTCTCAGATCTTTTCGAGCTGGGGTGGATCCGCAATACGAACGGACCGGAAAACTTTTGATCCAAGCACTGCGAGGCGACATCCAGCTTCTTATTCTTACCCTCCTCAAGTCCGAGGTCGATGCCGAAGTCGAAAATTGGAGCTCCTGAACGATCGTACAGACTTGCGAGGAACGTGATCGAAGACGCCGTCGGCGAGGGTTGGTAGTAAGAAGGGGAGCCCAAGGCTTCCGTGGACGTCTTTGTCCCCACGAATGGATATCTATCCCTCAAGCCCAGCAGATCTTACCAGTAGAGTCTCTCCTACCACACTCCACGCCAACCCATTTCCCCTTCTCCTCCCACTCACGCTGCCTCATCCGATGCCCTACGAGTGCAGTCTGACAGTAGTTCTCGGATCTTGCACTCTATCGTCGACTTGTTTCCATCGTCTCCAAATACCTCTGCCCTGGTCATACCAGCACTTTGTCAGTCGTTTTGCTCCAAGTCGCTGGGATGCACGCCCACGAGAATGTCGGCCTGTAGCTCTACATACTCTCTTGTGCAAGATTCGATGTCCCTATGCTCTCTCGATACCAAAGGAAGCTTCTTCCGCTTACAGTCACAGAAAACGTGTGCACTAAGCGTCCTGCCTTTCATGACTCAATTGACGGTGTAGCAGCTCACTACGTCTACCTTTCGAAAGGTTTCCACAATTTCGAGCGAACCTTTCACCCGATTCCACCACAAACATGGCCCATTTCGGTGGAGCTGGCTTCCTCTGGGCGGCTAAAGATGCCGATGGGGCTGAGGTTTCGACAACGAGCTTTGCTGGGAGGCTGTGCTTCGTCGAGGCGTAATCCGAAGACACTTACCCCAAAGAAAAGGTGTGAATTTCTTCTATATCTTTTGACTCGCCTGGATGGCTCATTCCATTCTCCTTTTCTCGAAGTATCCAGGCGACATCTTCGCTGATCATTCTTTGGAGGATAGGAAGGTTACGGACGTTATCGAGCGGCTGCTCGCCAGTATCAACGATCAAGAGCTCGAAAACGAGCATCGGAATCACAGCCATTCTTCCTCTCTCTTTCCCTTAACAGGACACCTCAACACTATCTCCAACACCGTCATCCACCAAGTATCTACAAACGACTCTCTCGCAGCACCACTTCGAACTCTCTTCGAAACAGACACACCTTCATGATTCCAGGCACCCATACAACACCCTCCCGGTTCTCTGAAGAGGAGGAAGCTGCCGATATGCCATACAGCGCTAATACCCTGGACGGGAGAGAGGGATAATGCGCGGAGTGTTTGTGGGGTATGGAGGTCTTTGCTTAGGTGCACGTAAGGAAGGATCAAGGTGCTTGTCGTCGCCAAACACACCTACCCTCGTGTCCCACTTTCGCCTTCTTTTCCGTCTGGAGAGTTGTGCTATGAAACCGGAAATAGCGAGGGCGAATTGGCCCCAGCCTCGCGAGTTCTCTTAGTCTGATCCCCCCTCCCAACATTCATCGCCAACCCTCCTAGCCTGAAGCCTCTCATCAGCCTTGCTCAAAACCACTCCATCCTTGCTCGCCATTGCGTTGTCAAGGTCTTGATGTTTCGTTAGCGTTGATAATGGCGATGCTTGAAGGAGCCCTTGCTAGCAAACACTGAACAGAGGGGTCGTGGCCGTTCGCAAGTTATTGAGGTGCGGTTGGAGGGCCTTTGATGTATCAGTTCGCATCTATTGTGGAGACTTTTCAAGTAAGGCTATTTTCATTGCTATAATGGCGTTAGCTGACGAGTCTACACACAGTTGGCGCCATAGGCACTTCTGCCGCAATCCCTCTATGTCTTAAACCAACTCTCCTCGCCAGGAGACTACGAGTCCTCACCCGACGCTATCACAACGTTCAGCTCAAGTCGAAGCTTGCGAACGGAAGCTCTTCCCCTTACTTCCCTCATGTCAACGACGGACGACATCGACATAGCCTCTTCAACGCCCTTGAGATCCCCTGTGCGGTGGTGCTGCTTCTCTCTGTTGTGTTTTACCGCCACAACTAGGGACAGAAGTAAGCGCCTCACTACCCTAAATGGGGTACGCAGCCCCCTTGCAACGTGAAACGAACGTTGTTCGGACGGCAACTAAAACACGCTGCTGGGCCGGAAACCGTCCGTGGTACATACAAAATGATATCGAGCGGATATTGAAGAAGGTGCTGAAGGATTTCAAGGTTCGCTCTGTTCCCTCTTTCGTTATTATCACCTTCTTATGGTCGTCATTACTGCAGATCCATATGTGCTGCTTCTCCAATACACCTGATTTCGCAGCCCGCCTATTTACTAACCTTACATCGGATCGCAGGTACTGACAATTCGGCCGATTTCAAGAAGAAGTCGCATGTCTATGGGGCGTCAAAAACTCCGTCTTCGCCCTGGACATCAGACGACGAGCCTCTTACCTTCCACAGTCCAATATTCGACCCCTGCGGAGCGGCCATCACGCTGTTCATCTTGAAATGCAATGGCTTCTCGTAGATGTCCCCGGTCAATGACGGCCCTCCACCTGCTTTAAGCCATTCGAACTCGCTCCTTTGCCAGTCACTCCTTCGTTCTGCAAAGCCAAGCGCACGAAGCGCCTTCCAAAGTAACCAACACCGCCCATTCCTAGGCGCATCCTCGTCAACTCTTCCGCTGTCATAATTTCCTCCTCTTCCCCGCGCCATCTCTTCTCCACCTTCCCCTCTTTCTCCTACTCCTACTCCCATGTCCCACATACGCTGTCAAGTAGACCACCTACAATGTCTTGCATTACAGCAGAATGTGTTTGAGACAGCCAGTCTTCGATGAGCCTCCTCTCCTTGTATGAGGAAGCTTACAACGTGTACTTGCAGGGCGTGGATTGATAGATGGACATCACAATTCGTGAGAAACGCGATTGAAGAGGCGTGGCGATGTTGAGGGTTTTTCTTGGTCTGGATACTTCCAGGAAGACGATTTCAAATGCTCCGTGGACATCCATGTCCCCACGAATGGATATCAATCCCTCAAGCTCATCAAACTGTACCCGTAGAGTCTCTCCTACCACAATCCATGCCAATCTATCTCTCCCCTCACTCACCCTGCCTCCGCGGATATGGGCTGAGACATCATTCGAGGACGTTATGATTATTGGTTTACGGCAATGCTTGGGAACGGAGTGAGGAGAAAGGGGAGTGTTACGCCTACGATTAGTGGTGCGGGGAGCGATGATAGTGCGTTGAGTAGCAGTACCTCTCCCGTTGCTCCTTCTCTATGGAGCGACTTCGTGGATCATTGTTTTTTCTCAACGTTGGTGGGTCGGCTTGATTGTCGGTCCATTTTCGTTTTCCTGTTTTTTCTCTCTTTTCCTTTTCTTGTTTGCTTGTTTTCGTTGCCTATTGGTTCTTTAACGACTCTCCCATCATAGACCAAGGCTCCAAACAAACTATCATAACCGTTAGCATATATCATACCATCATTATCTGTTCGCGCGCTCTCTTAGTGGACATACACTCCTTTGATACCTCAAAGCCTCACCGGCACCCGTTGTAGCCATACTAGTAGTATCCCCTCGCTGTCGAGACCAAGTCGATACTTTGAATTGTGCAAGTGACTCACGTGAGTTCATCAAAGGCGCATCATCGAGTCGCGACTGCATTGCATGCAAGGTGAGCACTCTTCCGCGGCGCCTCGCCTCATCTTCGTTTGTTTCTCCCACCTTGACCTCACCCCGGACCTCCTCACAGCGATCGCGAATCTCCACAAGGTCTCCACATCGCGTCCTTGGCCGTCTATCCAAAACCGCGATAAATGGCGGGGATCGGAATGTGTATACAACATATATATGCGGACGGGTTTACAGGACTTCCTCTCGCCTCGATACACCAGCTCATATTAGATTCGCGGTCCACTATCGAATATACTTGAAAGATAATGAGCTCAATTCCATCAATTCCATCTACTTACTCCCATGACGGATTTATCAGCCGTATTCCATTGATGTTTTTTGGATGTTTATTGATTATTTTGTGCCTTCAGGTTCATCCGATCCTCGTCACATTTTCATCTTTTCGATAGGCAAGCTTGAGGAGGAATTCGCGACTGATGTTAACTAATTTTCGTAAGTTTATTTAGTTGGAGTTTAGTTATTAATATGCATGACTTTCCCTCACAAAATCTGCTTATTTTCGTTTATTCAAACGTTGCAATTCTTCTAAATATATAAGATGAACAGTGATTCCTGAAAAGCCAGGGGGAAGATAGAGCGTACTCTTCATGCTTTCATTGCACACCTTTATAGTCTCCCCCCTGACAGCCTGGTACGAGAGTAGGATACTCTCAATTTGTGTCCAGTTGGAATCTGAATCATGTTGCAAGCCTTCCACTGCATAGCCTCGTAATTGTTCAAGATGAGGGAAAAGTTTATCAATGAATCGAGCTATGCTGATCATATCCGCAACCGTCCACTTCCCCAGGCGGCTACCAATGATGAGGTGTTTGAGGGGGTGGTTTGGTGCACGATCAGGAGGGGATGGAACCTCGGATAGGTTCACAAAAAATTTCAACTCCTCGAGTACTGGGCAGGTCCTCACAAAACATGTCAACTCATCGAGTGTTATCTTTCCACTGAAACTGGCCTCTCTTCCATAAACGGGAAGGTGCAGACAAGTTAAGTTCCTCCAACTAGCGTTGGACGGCCAAATCGTCAATCTGTGGAGATCGCCAGCAGAGGCCTCTAAGTGAAAGCCCACGACTTTGAGGACCTGAAGCTCTAAATCTCCAAGGGGTAGAAGTACCCCCAAACGTGTATCAAAATTACTTCCTGGGCTATTCTTGATCCGGATGATTTTCAAGGATTTCAGAGCCCCCACGACCTTGATGCAAGCGGTCATATCCGCTTCCCAATGAGGAGTTTCACAGATGCTGAAGTCTATAATGCGGAGAGGAGCTTCCACCATGAATTGTAAGATGATCGAGAGGGGAAGGGCTGAACCAGTGCATCGAAAAAGTTGAAGGCTCTGGAATGGGGAACCTTGTCCTTTGACAAATTCAGCATCAGACTTATCCAGGGTAATGCGTGGACACCCTTGGAAGTTCATAACAAGTACCGCTAGACGTGGAAGATTCGACAAGGTCCTCACGATGTAAGGATCAAAGGAGACGTCTCGCAAAACGAGTGTCAGCGATGTCAGGTTAAGAATGTTTACGATCGCTGCCAATGAAGAGCTTGTACAACACCCCTCGAGATGGAGATACCGTAAATGAGTCGACGTTCCCGCTGCAGAGGAGATGAAAGATTCGATGAAGGTCGCATCCACGACATTGCTGATGAAAAGTCGCTGGAGTGTCGGTACCTGAAGGAAGAAGAGGGAAGACAAATTCAAAGTGTCGCCCTCAAAGGAAAGAATATAGACGTTGCACAAAGCAGGAAAAAATGGACGCAGTCGGAGGTTTGAAAGTTGAGCATACGTGTATCCCGCGATATTCGGCCAACCAGGACCAAGCCTCACAACAAACGATCTAACTTTCTGAGAGTAGTAGTCAAAGCGCCGCCAGTCTACCTGTCCCCTAATCGCCTGCATAACGCATTATCAAACGAGGTAAAATCGGCGGACAAGGCTTACATACTAATAATCCACCGATTTCCTTGAAAGAAGGAATAAGGTTTAAAAGAGGCATAAACGAGTCCATGATGCGCCACAGGCAGTCTGATGCCGATTCGAAGAATGCGCTACAGGTGAGTGCGGCTGACTTCAGGTTTTTCCTGATCTGACGACCATCGTTCATTTCACCGTTGATACCTAGCTCCAAGCCAAAAGCCTCGAAGATCGCACTAAGGACATCCCTGTTCTTTAAGATTCTAGAAATCGGGGTGCGTTCAAGGGGGTGGCGGAACGTGGATCCCGGATATAGGGTTAGGGGGGGGGGCTCCGCTAGGGGGTCGAAATATTTTTTGTGACCTACTTTGAAAAAGTCTTGCCAATAAGCCAAATCGCGCTCCCAAAGAAGTTGGGAAGTTCAGATGCACGGAAAACCCCTAATTTACGTATTTACTGTCTGAAATTTTGACTGAGAGCCAAAAAAAGTCAACGAACTTTTTATAACGCTGCTCAGGTTCACTGAAAGTATAGCAAAGAAGAAGTAAGTCCCTATTTTACATATATACTCTAATCCGATACTCTATTACAGACAAGCGTCGGGGTTTACGAGCGACAGCAAGCTTTGTTGCCCAGAATGTGAGAAATGTTGGAACAGGCAGTCAAGCAAGTCTGCAGCAGCATATCGGATCGAGAGCATGCGAAGCCGCCATCTAGTCAAGACGGCAGCAAAACATACCATCATGATCCATTCACTCCTTTTTTGGACCAAAAATCCCTCAAACTCCACCAACGACAAGCGCGCCACCGCTCCTCCATTCAGCAGTACAGGTGGTGTCCAGCTCGACAAACGGATTCGAGAGCCACGAAATGTGTCCGACCTGTATGGATATGGGGATGAAGTGTCGTCGCACGTAGTAACGGATCCAAAAATGTAACATACTACTTATTTGGGTATGTTTTTGACATAGGAACTCGGAAGTTTCCTTTTTTGGGGGGTAGGAGGTGGGGGGGGGTAGGCTGAGGGCGCCTTAATTCGTAATGTGACTGTATATCCAAAATCCACGTTCCGCCACCCCCTTGGGTGCGTTGGTTATCTTCAATGTCATTTCCGTTGGGTCCCATCGATAACGATGCACTGAATCGAGGTGGAAATGAGACTTGCCAAATCTTGACGGCTGAACAAGCGTCTTACCTCTCCGCCTCACTGGGTAGAGGTTTGACAGATTCGAGAGGCGTAGCGGCTGACATTTGCAAAGTGAGTCGTAAGTCCTGGGTGTTGAGAATCAGCACTAATTATCAGGCGCTTGACTTGCTCAGTTGAGGTGATGGAGTGGTGATAGGTGGTCAGCGGTATTCGGATCCCTATTCCGGCGGACCAAGAGACTCCCATCTGGAGTGGTACCTGGAAGATTATCAGCGGAGCTTCCGGCTGCCAGTAAAACCAGAAAATTTTCGCCGTAAATTGTCTTTTGAATGGTACCTTCTTGCCGAGTACAACTTCGGAGAATGCTCGTTGACAAGACTGAAATAACGTACTGATAACGTGTGAGACCGATATGAGATGTCCGATGGCTGTCTCAGGGAGAGGGAGGTTTTTGCAAGATCTCATCTCGTACCACGGTGGTCTTTGCTCGTCGCGGCAAATATGCCATTCGGAATAAGAGAGAAGCCTTAAGAGCAACCGCAATCCTGGATCCAATAGAGTAAGTTGGTGGATTTCACATCTGCCCAAATGCGATGAAGATTTTAAAACCGGATGAATCTCTGAGTAACAGGGGAAAACTCCGACATCGAGGGACCTCGGATTTTAGCGTGGAGGACCGCGATTAAAATCGCGGGAAACAAAACGTGTGGCGATCCGGATCGTAGGTTCTGTTACAGCTAACGAGGTATCGATAGACCAGAATTCAAAACGCTCCGCTTAGTGGCTTTGTTTAGTTGTGGAGTCTCAGGGTACATGCAAACAACCTAACCAGGAATTTATGACTATATACACAACAGCGGGAAGGGGCGGGAAGACAATGCCTGCCAATTGGCTGTGGGAAGTTGTTTGGCCAGCTCCAAAGGTAAATAAAATCACTGAGCGGAGCGTTTGGAGTTCTGGTCTATCGATACCTCGTTAGCTGTAAGGATCGAGATCAAGGCAAAATAAGCCTTTGTACACGCCATGAGGTGATGGGTATAAAAAAAGATAAGCATGTCAGCGCCAGTGTTTTTTTCACCTATGTGCTTTAAGCATGTTTCCTACTATCAGTGATTTGAGTGGAGAACGAGATAATGTAAATACATAGTCCTTCTGAACAACTGAACCAACGACTGCCGTTTGATGAGTGGAACTCACATGGGGAGCTATGGGGGCACCCAAAATAAGTTAGCCCTCGTCTCAGGCACGACTTCGGTGTCCGATTGTTCTCTTGATTCATGACCAATTTCAAATTAGACGCTAGGTGCACATTGAAAATAGAGGTTTCAAAGTAACCGAGCGACAAGTCTGCAAATGTCCAAAAAAACGAGAGCCAGAAATTCAACACCCTGCTCGAAAAAAAAAAACTGAGGGTTCAACGATCAGGAAAAAGCAAATATGATCACCTACAGCCAATGCTATCGTGTTTTCTTTCCTTCTGTCGCTTGGCCGGCTGCATTCTCAACGGTGAGGATAACGGCGACAGGAGATCCTGACAGAAGAGCACAATCATGGGTATTCCATCCGAGAGCGCCCATTTTGTTAACAAAATCCGGAATCAGTTCCAGTACTTTTTGATGGGTCTCCTCAAGAATCTCCAGTGCGTCAATAACACCTGAGACATTCCTTCGCGCAGAAGTAACTCGACACAATTCCGCAGCGTGAATCCACGCTTTCAGTTGATCCTCAGTATTGTACCCGTCTTTGAGGCAGATATGTAGGCGGAGGAAGCCTTCAACGGAAGGGGGTTCCGGTCGGAGCAGGCAGCGACGATCAAACCAGAGTAGATATTGTTCGTCCTTGAACAACTCAAGTAACCGCGGAGGTATAGGTCCGCTAAGTATCTTCGAAAACGAAGAGCCGATGGTACAGTGACCCAGAATGACACCGCGTCTAGGATCCCTAAATCCACCTGGACGTTCAAATATACGTTCCAAACTCGCCACTTCAACAGGTGTTGGGGCACGACGTGGTTGTGTGCGCATATAGGCAGACCAAGCAATCCAAGTCCTTTGTCCATTCAGTGTGCGCAGGACCAGACCCCGCACACCAATATAATTGATGGTGAGATGGAGTCCGACAAGAACAAGGAGAGTTGCATAAATTGTCCATGGCGTCGTCAAATGGGGCACAATGAGCGTACCCAGCTATGAAAAGAATAATAAAACAAGCAGTAAATTTCTATCAATGTATAAACGTACCAGCATACCGAGCAAAGCAAGGACAGTCTCTTTGCTAGCGTCTTTTGCGTTAAGATCGCCTACGTCGCCTGTACCTTTAAGCGGTGTAGCGAAATGCAAACTGATGGAAGCCTTGGAGCCCCCCGCTGAGATGGCGCAAAGAGATCTGAACAATGCGCTGAGGCATAATGCTGCAACTCGCAGACCGGGAAAGAAAAGCGTGTCGAGACGAGGTGAAATTGTGTCCAGAATTACGGCGGCGTCGTTGAGCATGTCGGCAAGGAGTCGGTATTTCTTCGCGTCGGGTGCGAGGGAAGATCCCAATATGTGGGCCGCGACAATGGCTGCGTGCAAAGATTAGTGGAGATGTAGGATGACATGGCGAAACTAACTTGTCAACCGGCTGAAAACGTCTTGCAAGACAGTGAGAAGTAGAGCATTCGTTGCTGTCGCAGATGGATCTCCAACTCCGAATCCTTGTTGGGACTGAGTTAGTTTAGTAAACGCGAATTTAAGCTTGAAGAAACACCTTCAAGGATCGCCCTAGATGATAGAAGTCCCGCCAAAGAATTACAAAACGCTTGCAAGGCATTTAATATTTGATATCTAGAGCGAAGTTTTAATAAGCAGAACGGCGTTCTCTTTAAGGAAAACCAGACCGAAGGTAGTCTGGCAACAGGCCGTCAGATAATAGGTTGTGTGACGCTTATTGCTTACCTGGAGACACGGAATCGGGGTAACCAGCGGGAAGGAACACTTTGGATATGAGATCAAGGACGCGTCTATGGCCCCTCAACCGATTGGAATGTGCGTCAAGAACCTCTCCTCGTGTTGCCTACGTATCGTCAGTCAAGATTCTGTTGAATGCTTGGACGTGTGAAGCTGAACCTTGCCGTTCTTGATCCTCGTTTCTATCTTCCTGTTTGTATCGTCCCGCTCTACGATGAGGCTGGTGAATTCCATCCTTGAGGCTTCGAAAATCACAAGTTGTAGGTCCAATGAAAACCACGTAGTGTTATCTGGCGAACATATTTTAAAACTCCGTCAAGCTCCGCCATAAACCACAATGAGCAGCAGGTGGCCTTGCAACCGAAAAACCGCCATGTCAGGTAGGAAAGAACGCCATTAGTGTAGCGTGCTAACAAAATCAGCTGGACTCTAGCAGAAAGTCTGCTGCTCTTATTTCCCCCCTACCCGGAAGTCGGCACGGTCGAAGGTCCGGTCGTTCCGGACTCGCAACTGGCTTGACCATCCCCACTCATCATACGTCCATGTCAACCGACAAAACACCCTTACTTCCCTCTCAAACATCGAGAAAATCTTATACTCTGGTTATTCATGGAGGAGCTGGGACAATGTCGAAGGCTGGCTCTACAAAGGAGCAGCAGATGCTCTATAAAGCTGGCCTCGCGAAAGCTTTGCACGCAGTCAGTGTCCTTTATAAAGTCAATCACTTATTTTCTTAATTACTTCCAAGGGATATGATGTTCTCAGTCAAGATGGGGAGGCCATGGATGCCGTGGTCGCCGCCGTGACGGCGCTGGAAGGTCTGCCCACTCTCTGAAATGGGCTTGATTTTCTCGCTCTGACCTCATGTTTACAACGGAAGACAATCCATTATTCAACGCTGGTAAAGGCGCTGTTTTTAACGTTGCCGGAAAGGTAAGCCTCCTCAATGTGACTAATCCGAAGCATGCGATTTATTCCTTGAAGAACGAACTAGAAGCCTCCCTTATGCTTTCAAAACCCCCAGCATCTCACCCCGAAATCCCCTCATTCCGACGCGGTCTTGGCTTAACTCTGTTGACTAGAACTAAGAACCCATCTCATCTTGTCCATTCATTATATCTATCCCCATCCCTCGCTCCACATGCCTTCCTTTCTGGAGAAACCGCTGAGGAAATTGGAGAATCTCTCGGCGAAATTCTCGTTGACCCCTCATACTTCTACACTGACCATAGATGGAGAGAGCATCGGCGCGGGCTGGGGCTCCCCGAAGACCCCCCATCTGACATACCAGAGCCAGGCCCAGGTTTTTCCGGTTCACTTGATCAATTGCCAACTGGAACAGTTGGTGCTGTAGCTCTCGATATCCGGGGATGCATCGCATCCTTAACCTCTACCGGCGGGCGCACCAACAAGCTGGTTGGTCGTATCGGCGATACACCCTTGGAAGGTGCAGGCTTTTGGGCTGAAGAGTGGAACGACGACTGGGGCTGGGTCCGACGATGCTGGAATAAGTTCAGAGGATACCAGAGTAAGCGCGCTGTTGGTGTATCGGGCACTGGGGATGGAGATGTAGGCATTCAAATACTTTCCGAACTTTTTCCTCATCTCACAGTGAAAACAGTATTTCATCAGGCAAGCTACGGCGTCAATCATCGCACACCGCGTGCGCTTTCTCAAGCAGTCGCTTGCGATGGCTTCTGCCAGCGCTGTGAAGGATCTTGCCAAAGACGGCGGGATTGGAGGCGTTATCGCGCTTGATGACAAAGGAAATGGTGAGTTTTTTTTTGTAGGTTGTGTTGCACATTGTCGCTGAACATTTCTACTTCAGTCGCAATGCCATTGAATTGCCCTGGGATGTACCGAGGCATAATCAGAGAGGATGGTGTCTCAAAAACCGCCATTTTTGATGACGATGTCCTTGAAGAATCTTGATCTTCAGGGATGTGAGTTCAGGCTTAGATACATATATTTCGGAGAGACCCAAGAGAGACCATCGGACTCCGTGACTTCACATAAACCGTCTATGTAGTACTTAGAGTCAAGAAAAAATTTCCGAGGCGGGTACCTCCCACATTTTTATTTTACATTGCGAGGAAAGGGTAATAATTGTACGGGATAAAATATTACATATACATTCCGAATCTCCTGAAAAGACAAAGTAATGTGCAGATTTAGAAGGAGATGATGACAAATACAGCCTGTCACCAACCTGCACAACTTGTGCACAACCACATCAAACGCGCACCTTTCGTGTAACGCCTCTCCTCATCCCTCCGGGACGCGTAGAACTCGTTATAGAGTCTACTTACATCTTATTTTTCATTACCTGTTCCGGCCCCATCCATTAAGGCCACATTTACGACAAAATGGCAGCCATTCCAGGTGGTATGTTCTCTCCTAAGATCACACGACGAGCTCTTGACGCGAGCTCTATAAAATGTAATAGAACCAAAGGAATCGCCTAAACCCCAGCCAATAGGCAACATGCCCATCATATTCCTGTTCACGGCCTGCACCCTCTGTGCACTTTTTATCCTGTGGCGAAGAGCTGACGCGCTGCGGAGGGTCGTCTCTCACAGGTACGTCGTCTCCTGTCATTCGCACCTTCGATGTTCCATTCCAAGTGCTCACCACCCACCCACAGCCTAAAGACAATCACAAGCCGAAACGACGGTCGAATCAGGCTAAGCGAAGACGACGGCCCGCCAGCACACGAGTTCCTGGAAGACGACTACGACGAGGACAACGCGCACTTGAACGATTCGGATGACGAGCCGCTATCGGAGCATGTGAGGAAGGCGACGCAGGCGTGGAGAGAGCCGAATGACCCGGAGGAGATTAGGGTGCTGGACGCAACACGGACGCCACGTTGGGGTGCTTGATTGGGTGCGTTTTTTGTGTGGCTTTCTTTTCGATGTTGATGATGAAGCTCATGAGAGATTAGTGATAGGGTTTTCCTGGTTCTCGGGGTGCTATTTTATTGGGCTTTTATCTAACGGCTTATTACCAGACCTATTTGGCTGGGGTTGTAAACTATGCTTGCAATTTGAATGCGGTCGCATCTGCTGCGGAATATATACGCATAGGAGCATGCATGTTTATGAAAGGTTGCAGTGGTGCGTGGGTCAAGATCTGCAGGCATTCCTCACTCAGGGAATGCCACAACTACCGGCTTGTCGTACTAGCAATCCTAGGCAAGTTATCGCAGGACATGGTGTGGAAGACCACTAGTAATCGTCAAGGGCGTTCCCCAAACTGTTAGCCTCAGGGATACCCTTCCAGATCGCATCATCTGACGGATGAGAGAAAAGGTACGCCGGGTCGTCTTTCCGACTCCTTGCTCAACCTGATATTCTAGCTTTTCCAGAATCCTTCTGAGACTTAGTGCGTAGTGAAGGCCCGCATGACGGGGTTGAAGCCCCCAACCTAACGACGGCCTCTGTTGCTGTTGTTTGAAGATGGATGCTATGGCTCGCAAGGTTGTTCTCAACTTCTGTCTAAGGTCAATAATAGTGCGGAGTGCAGCTTTGAGGACGGATACTGCACGGCGCGTTTGGCGCCATGGAAAACGACGAGAGGCGCTTCAGAGTAAATTACTTGACGATCTCCACTTTCAACAAACGGCGAAGAACCATTCAAGCAGCGCTGAAGGCCTAGGAAGGATCCCCGTTCTGGGACTCGGGGGATGGTTACAGTGATAACGAAGCCTTGCTGGTGAGGTGATAAATCATCCAACCCTTGAAGGCTGAAGGGACCGGGAATTGCAGAAAGATCGTCCTCGACCCAGTACGGTTGTTTGTGGAGGCTTGATACCCGGGTGACCCAGAACATGCGAAGCCTCGGCGGAGAAGTTGCTTGAGTGGGTTGGTGAGATTGTTCTGTATTAGACTTTGGTGCCATTTCTGATTTCTTTCTCGCTTCTACCAGAGGGCAAACGCATCTGCCTGTCCGGACACTATAAAGTCACCTATAAAATGGCCTTTTTCAGCTCTTGTTGAGTAAGGTACAATAAATTCTCAATTGATTTGTACCCTAGATACGTGCGGCTTCTAGGAAAGAGGGCAAATTGGTACCTGGGCTTATCTGAAGCATCTCAAATCTTCCGGGAACATCTTTAATCCAAGTGCGTAACTTTGCGACACATGCGCTCAATCGATGCTCACATACGAGTACATCCAGATCAGTCCTAAGGGGCAAAGAAAGCTGACGCTAGGGCCGCTACCAAGTCACCTACGCAGTCGGCGGAGCTATGTATAAGCCAGGGCTGCAAATGTTCAAAACTATATTCCATGTTACTCATATAACTTCATGTCATGGCAATTCAAAGGCAAGTTGTACCCTTCAACGTTCAACGATTGAAAGATAAGCAGCACAGGTGACAGGTTTGACCGGGCCGCTGGACTACAACGAAGAAACAGAACGAATACCGGTGATAAAGTGCCCAAGTGGTCCCTGCCCGTCAGTGACCATGGTTTGTATAGGGTTTTCCGAAAGACCAAGACCAACCCTCCAAATTCTCCTCCGTCTTGATGAGATAGGGGCTTTTCGGAGAGGACTTGGAGAGGACGCGTGTTCAAACTCTCATCTTTCTTCCTCTAAGCGTACACGTCACCTGGAAGGCATGATTAGAAGGCCAGATTTTTACTAAAATTGTATGACTATGGACACCGGACGTGATATCTCCTGGCAGCTTGGGCGCCTACGCGTCAACACGTGCCGGTGGCTCTAATCCTATTTATATAGCCTGTCTCACAGCTTTATCGCAACATACCTCAACTCCTCTCATCATGGCAGTTCACACTAGAAAAATTGGCAATGACGTCGTCTCACCCATTGGTTTTGGCCTTATGGCCCTCTCTGCGTTCTATGGTGCCACCGAGAAAGACGAAGACAGGTTCAAGGTCGGTCATTCTGAACGCACACGCACAAATTCTTCGAAGCTAATAAAACACTCAGGTTCTGGACGCGGCACTCGAAGAGGGTTGTACCTTCTGGGATACGGCTGACGTTTATGGCGATAGTGAGGAACTGTTGGGGAAATGGTAAGTGATTACGCACCCAAGCACTTGAGTTGGAGTTGACTAAACTTCGACAGGTTTAAAGAGTCTGGGAATCGCGAGAAGATCTTCCTCGCTACCAAGTTTGGTACAGTAGGAACACCCGAGAGGATGATCAACGGCGAACCCGAATACGTCAAGGTTGCTGTGCAAGGGTCCCTCAAGAAGCTCAGGATCGACACCATTGATTTGTACTACCTTCATGTGCGTTTTTATTTTATAATGCAAGGCATATTCTGATTTTTCGGCTTCTTAGAGGGCTGATCCCATTGTTCCGATTGAGGTATGCTCTCAGTATCCTCAAGCTCCGACAAATATCTGATTTTTTCTAGATCACGGTCGGGGCAATGGCGGAGCTTGTAAAGTATGTCCTCAACGCTTAGGTTCTCGTCTTCAGGACTGACGTCGATACACCAGGGAAGGAAAGGTCAAATACTTAGGATTATCGGAAGTTTCTTCAGAGACTCTTCGCCGTGCTTATGCTGTTCATCCCATCGCCGCTGTTCAAGTCGAATATTCGCCTTTCACTCTTGACATCGAAGATGACAAGATTGCGTTGCTGAAAACGTGCCGGGAGCTTGGAGTGACTGTGGTTGCTTATTCGCCTTTGGGGCGCGGAATGTTGACGGGTCGCTTCGTATGCTTGTCCTATTTCCATAAATTATCCATTTCAGCTAATGTTTAATCCTAGAAATCTATTGATGAGTTGGATGACGACGATTTCAGGAAGGCTATTCCCAGGTACAGCATCTGTCATACCATGTCATGATTTTAGACTTATGTCTTGTTAATAGATATCGGGATAACTTCCCAAATATTTTGAAGCTTGTTGACGGTCTGCGAGAAATAGGGAAGAAGTATGGCGCGACGGCGGGACAAATTTCGCTCGCATGGCTTCTCGCCCAGGGAGACGACATCATTCCCATTCCAGGAACCAAGGGAATTAAGGTACGCCGCCTTCTGTGAATCTGAATAAAGTATTCACGGGATGGTCACCAAAGTATCTCAAAGAAAACATCGCTGCTAGTAAGGTAAACCTAAGTCTGGAGGACGTTGGGGAGGTCAGGGCAATTGCGAAGAAGGCCGATGTGTTCAAGGGAGATCGCTTCCCACCTGGCATGATGGAAACATTATTTGTGGATACTCCGAAGCTAAGCTGAGCCTGGGAGGTTGATAGTTTGAATGTCATTGACGAATAAGGGAACAAATAATCGCGCCGAGAGTACCTTTTTCCCTGCCCGATTATCAACTTCAGAGTTATCAAAATCCGACATTTAAACGTTGAAGACGTTGAGGGGTCATGGTGTTATGATACAGACAGCCAGAATACTGATACCGCGGGTGACACGCTTGTGCCTCCAAAAAGTAGTTGAGTGCCACCAAAGTGCCACTCCAGCCTACCAAAACTTAACAACATTTGCAAAACGGTCATGTTGGCGGAACTTAGACAGCCAAGCAAGACCAAACAAGCTTGAGATCACGACTCTCTTGCAACGCGAAAGCGCTGCGGCACCTGTCAAACCACAGCCTCCCCAACCAACACTGGAAGCCGAGCGTCATGCTACATATATTGGGTCTTGTTAGCCCCTGAGCTGAACATCAAGGCTATTCATGTCACCCATGACCAAGTTGCTGTTAACTTGTGCGATGATATCTCCAGCTAGGGCTGTTCTCAAAGTAAGCGCGCCTTTATATGTTGCACGATGATGACCCTGATAAGACAGAATATCTTCGATTCCGCTCTATTCCATACTACACCTGGAAAGCCATGTTAATTCCACTCTTCAGCACCAATCAACTCCCGGAGTCCACGGTGAAGAAAAGACTTCGTCGAAGGAGCAGGAGATCGCAGTTGTCGGCCATCGGCTCTGATAGAAAGCATCTCGGTCGTGATCTTGACAGACAATCAGGTAGCGTAATAGCTAACTTGGCCCTGAGACTCGGACTCAAACATCAACAGGATCATCTTCAAACTATGAGTCGCGTGAATGGGTTGGCGCACCAAATTTCAGCAATGTTTCTTGGCTTAGCGTTTCCATAACGGCGTATGGAGAACAGATGGAGGCCATACCCTTTGGATACGGTGGTGGACCTATGACTGTTATCCCTGCAGATCAGCCGTTCTCCGGGCGCGAAAGCGGCGGCGGAACTCGGGCTGAAGTTTACGGTAACTCGTAAGACAAATCACTGAACTTGCTTTGATTGTAGACTGATCCCGATTCTCTGCAGATACTACGGAAGTGGGTATCCGGGCCAACAACAATGTGGCGTTGATGGACGTGGTTTCCCGTTCGTCTTTTGGCCTGTCGTGTTCACGGCGCCTGTGGTAGGAGGCGGCGCTTCGTATTTATATCGTGAGGCTGAGGTATTTCTTTCTCGTTTGCTCCGCCAAGACAATATTTGACAACTTTATCAGTACGGTGGGCCGGATAATTCTACGCGACCTGGATCAGCACTCCAGCAATCAACATTTTACACAAGCAATTCTACATTCCGCCTCATCTCAGATACAACAACATCCACGTACCTCTACTATGCAATCACAAGAGGCTGTGCGCTGAGCGTTAACGGTCTACTGTCAACTTTCCCCACAACGTATAATTCGTCTATCTCTGGACGGCCAGAGCAAGCGGTGCAATATTATCGCGCCAGTAGCGTGGTCCTCACTCTCGATGGATACAACAACACAGCTGCTTTAAACGATACCGAACCGGTTGGCCCTCCGGCGCCTTTGCCCTCTGCCATCGACGTTGACCTTTTGAGATGCGTTAATGCAACTATTGGCGCGTCTGTCCCTCTGGTGGGAAGCTCTGGACACACCCACGGCCAACCAACTCTTCTTCTCCTTATGTGGCTGATATTTTTCTTCTGTTTAATGTAGCGATACCCCTCCGTTCTATATTTATTCAAATAGTGTAGTGATGTGTAACTAGTCGTAGCTCAGTCCATCTTACTTTACCCGCATTGTACGATTGATTCGGAATAATAGATCACCCAACGTCTGTCGCCGGAATATCATCTTACAGCCGTTCCCAAAACTCCAACTAGTCTGACACCTTCATCATAAGAACGAATTTCCAATGTTGTTGCCAGAACGCGAGTTTATCCATGGACCAGCAGCTCGCCTTGATCAATTATAATATCTTTGACGTCTGATAGCAATCCGTCGGAGTCGATGGTGTCATGAACTTCATTTCTCTCATCAAGTCAATCGAGCGTGTGTTGTGATTGATTTTGAGACCTGCCGGCGCTTGTCTAGCAACCGCATAGAATGAGTCGTTGGATGATGAGAGAAAACCAGTGTAACACTGCGGCCCAAGGGAATTATCATTCTCCATCAAACCGGACAGAATAGTTAAGAAAGGACATCAGCAAAACCTGGGTGAGCTAGGCAGCACGTGGCAGGGCTGTGTAGTGCCATAGCACCATAGAAAGGGGTATCACCTTTACAGTCACCTGCACGTTCTATGCAGCTCTACATAGAAACGCACAGCCACTACACAGCACTCCCTAGAATCTCAGAGCAGATCTGCAGCCATTCATAGAAACACATAGCCACTTCATAGTGCTCCCTAGAATTACGGAGCAGATCTGCAGCCCTCAGTAGCAACCCCTGGGGTCTGCAGATTCCTAGAGGGGGGGCATACATTCTGCTCATTTTAATACCATATTGTATGATTTTTACACAGAACTGGTGTTACGAAAAAATAAGTTTATTGTCTGCACTACTACATTATACAAGATATCCTAATATTCTACATAGTAATGACTGCAGTATATCAAATTTATGGAATCAGAGTATCAAGTATTAAAGATACTAAGAGGATGCCATTCGCCAACAAGGAAGGGAGGACGGTTGTTCGTCGAGGGACGGAGCCGTTCTTCAAAGGAGGGAGGACTCAAAGGAGGGAGGACGCCATTCGTCGACAAGGGAGGGAGGACGCCGTTCTTCAAGGGAGGGAGCCGTTCATCAATGAGGTAGGGAGGACACCGTTCGTCGACAACAGAGGGAAGATGCGTTTGTCGACAAGCTAGGGACGACGCCGTTCTTCAAGGCAGGGGGAACACCATTTATCAACGAGAGAGGGAGGACGCCGTTCGTCAACGAGGGAGGGAGGACACCATTCGTCAAGGGAGAAACGCCGTCCGTCAAGAAGGGAGGGAGGATGCCGTTCGTCGACGAGTGAGGGAGCAGTTCATCAAGGGAGGACACTGTTCATCGGGGGAGCCGTTTGTCGAGGGAGGGGGGCCGTTTGTCAAGAGGGAGCCTTTCGTCAAGGGAGGGAGCCGTTTGCCGAGAGAGGGAGCCATTCGTTGAGGGAGGAGTCATTTGTCGACGAGGGAGCCGTTCGTCGATGAGGGAGGGATCTTTTCTTTAAGGGAGGAAACCATTCTTCACGGGAGCGAGCTGTTCTTCAAGGGAGGCAGGGAGCCATTCTTCAAGGGGGGGAGGAAACCGTTCTTCAAGAGAGGGAGGATGCCGTTCTTCAAGGGAGGGAGGACGCCGTTCATGGACGAGGGAGGACACCGTTCGTCGAGGGACGCGGTTCGTCAACGAGGGAGGGAGGATGCTGTAACTCGACGAGGGAGGACACCGTTTGTCGAGGACAAGTTGAACATTGTGGTGGGAAGGAAGAACAATGAATTTCCGTGTTGGGAAATTCAAAGTTCAACATAATCACATGATGTCGGAGTTTCAACGGACTTGAACGAATTGTCTCGCGACTTGAAGTTGTTTGTCGCCTGTCACTGTCTTTCACAGAAAGCATGGCATTCGAGGTGGGCATTCACAATTGTAGATGGCACCATGTAATCAGGCAAATATAAAATTCATATTGGAAAATTATTGAACAATTTCCGAGCCTTCCAAGAAATTTGCAGTTGTTACCAGAAATTTCCGCTATTTCGATGATTTCCCGAAATTTCCTGTTTTTTGGTGGTAGTAGTAGTAACAATTGAAGTTGTCTAAGTTCGAAAATGTGAGTTGAGCACGGCACGTGACTTCCCGCAACCGTACCGACTTCCATCAATTCACACTTACACTTTCTAGGCTAGCTCATAGCTATAACTTCACGAGTATTACACCGTTTGGCCTCTATGTAGGCTTATTTTAATCGCTTCATTCACGCGAATGCAATCCAATTTACGGCGTAGAAAAATTTGGAGTACCTCACAAACTGTAGCATAAACTATTTGGCCTGTATTAGACATCTGAAATATATATTATCATCATGAGTTCTGCTCTGTTTCATGCGATTTTGGGCTTGTTAGAAACGCACAAATCAGAGCTTTAAAACGGGTCTGAGAGCCCCTAATATTTCGACGTTTAAGGCGACCTCCGATAACATTTACCGTTTTTAGGCAGATTCTTCACCAGTAATTGGTCCAAAGCCATTTGAGTTTTGAACTAAATACTACGTAAATAGACGCGTTGGAATCGGCTTGAACACCACTTTCCAACGCAAAAAAAATCACAAAAGACGAATATGTTTTGCAAAAGATACTTCATATTCTTTCTTGTTGCAATCTTTGTAGGTCAATCAATCTCTGGACAGTGTGGTACTTTCTTCTTATTCCAGGCGTATTTTGGTCATAAATTATTCATATACAATAGGGAATGTGTTTTCTACTGAAATCTAGTATACTTGTAGTTTGACTCCCTATAAGGGCTGGGTAGAAAGTGGAGGCCCCTCTATAGCACCCTATAGTAACGGCACAAGTCTCTGTAGTGCTGTATAGCACAAGCTTACACCCACACAGTGCTGTGGAGCGCTGTGGAGCGCTAGGGCATCTAGCCAAACTTGGCGTGTAACTATGGGAAACTATGATATTAGCGGAAGCACTATGCCTGTCTACGTGGGAAAATCAGGTTTTGCTGATGGAAGCTGAAAACCGAATGGATGGCGGAGCATTTTCGCCTCGCTTGACCTGATCGACCACTGGGATATTTGGAACGGAGAAAATAGCTGCCCGCTTCCACGTTGAAGTACTGCGTTTTTATGAGCCTACGCCTCCTTTAACAGCGAGCTTCACACAATGTCATTCTGAGTCACCACTGACGTCGGCTGTAAAATGAGCTCTAGGGATGAATCGGCTTAATTCCAGAGGTCGACACATAACTTGGGTGTAACTCGGTCAACCGCAGTTTTTTAACCCATCTAGGGGCGCTTCTTGGGCGCTTCGAGAAGGAGCAGGGGGACATGAATGTTCTGTTTACGTAATCCCGAAGGTGTTTGGCAAGAGCACCAACTTCAGTTCGAACTCCGCTTTCCCTCTTCAAGTTCAGGGGCTTTGACCATTTCCCGTCTTGAATGTCCTGCCTTGTCTCTACCCGTGGCTAAGCACAAATCGAGTCTGCTCGCTAGAAAGTCGCTTTATGTCTTGCAAAACCTTCGATGGCGTGTTCACTAAAACACGACGAACGCTGGCACTTGGAGCGGCACTCTCAGCCTTGTTATTTATGGTCATCTACGCCAATTTGCCGCGAATACCCTACCTCTACGGTCTTGTATCGAAACCTGCTTTAGTGTCGCCGAAATACCGGGATGCAACGTACGGAAAATGGATACCTTCGCCGCAAGGCATTGTGGATGCGGATCTGTGGAATATGTTTCGTTCATGCCACCCGGACTTCTCTCAGGCTGCTGGTGGATCCGACGGTCGCGATAAAGAGGAGGAACAAAAGATACGAGGGAGGAAGGTGGCTTCTTGGGAGTGGATTCTCGAGGATGGTAATCCACCTAGAGAATGGGATACTGAGGCTTTCATTGAGCGCGCGCTCAAAAGTAGGGGAGGTTTTGTGGTTATTGGAGGTGGGTGCCGAGTCTCAACTTTGGCTCTTGAATAAATTGAAATTGCTTTTAAGACTCCGTGGCGGGCCAGATGATGGGCGACTTGCAGACATTGCTTAGACAGCACCGCGGAGATCATCCGCGTCAAGTGACGGAGCGGATCCATTTAGAAGACAACAATATCTTTATCTCCATTTCATGGCTCACTTTGTCTCCGAAAAACCCGCTGTTTGAACGACTTCTAGCCAAGCCCTCTCTCGCTGAGGTTCCTCGCACACGGTTCTCCGAACCGATACTGACGATGTACCGCTCCGACAATCTGTTAACGGAAGGCGAACTCGACGATATCCTGAAATCGGTCGGAATGGTCGAACCCTTGAACCGCAAAGTACATAGAGCAACAGGCGATTGGCGTCAAGGTCTCCGAAACATCAGCAGGGGAACTTCTTGGCCGGGAGAACTGGATACAATAGTCATCGTCAACACAGGACCTCACTATAGCCCACTCCACATGACGCCTGCGAACGACGATCAGCTCATCAAGTCCTACGAAATAGTAATTAAAACAATCTACAATTTCTTGTCCGCCCCGCCTGTCCCGACCCTCACTTTTTTTCGCGCCACTTCGCCGGCGCACCAGAACTGTGGTGCATACTCTCAGCCCGTGTTCAGAAACTCAAGCACGGCGGAGAACCCCACACCGGAATGGCATAATTATGGATGGCATATGTTTCCTGAATTCAATCGGATCGCAAAGAAGGTTTTTGCGGACCAGAGTTCGACGACACGATACCTCGATATTTGGCCACTGTCGGTTCAGAGACCTGACGCTCACACGGGTTGGAATGTTAATCAGTTTGATTGTCTTCATGTGGGTTCTTTTGTTTTGTGTTGTAACCAATTTTTTAATCAAAAAGAATAGTGGTGTCAACCCTCTGTTACGGCGTGGTGGGTACGGAATTTATGGCATACGATTCAAGAAGAGGGCTTGTGATTTGTTCGTTGTGCGTAATTCCTTTGCTGTAATCTTCCTTCTCACCAGAGGGCCTTAGAAGTTTGCGCTGAAGGCCCACTTTTGCCAGTTGTTTTACATTTATCTGCCATTGCACAAAACAAAATTTTGAACGCCCTTTAGAAAGCTGTATTTTTGTTCAAGTTCTCCGTCACCTCACTGTTACATTTGCTGTATCGCCCCGACAGTTTTTGTATCCCAGTCCCAGATCAGTAGAAATTATTTTCAAATTGTAGCAATTACCCCAGATTTAAACATCTAAATCTGGAGCAATCCAAGAGGCCGCAAATGATCCAGCAGAAGGGAACCTTTTGATCGGATTTATATTGATCGGTTTCGGCGCCACCAAACACTGCCATCTCTCCTCTTGCAACAACCACGATGAGCTCAAAGGCAACAACGAGCGAAAACCCTGTCAAACCGCCAGGCGCAGGTCGCCCACCCTCTCTCAACCAGCTAGCTGCTAGAATCAACCCGACAAGTACAGCTACAACATCAGCGCCACGGCCAAGGCTGGCGGCGTCGCTTCTTCGAACGGGCTCAAACGCCTCATTATCCACGGTAGCATCGACGACCGACTCCATCGCCGTCAACGCGCCTAGTAGTACCCGCTCAGCATCGCCAGCTGGGATCTCCACATCGCCTCCACGCTCAATCACCCCCGTCGGCGATGCTTTGACCGCTGATAAGCTCGAAAAGCTCAACAGGGAGACAATTTCTTCCACCGTTGTACCAGAGAAGAGGGCTGTGAAAGTTGGTTATAAGAACATTCCGAGTCTGGACGCCATCACTGCCCGACTGGCGAAAACCCGCACCCTCAGCATAGATGGGTCTTCCAAGCCCCCAGAGCCCGAGATGATTGAAGATCCAAAGACGCCAGGAGTACCTATCAAAGCACCGGAACACCCTCTCCAATTTGCATGGTACGCAGCTCATGTTGTATTTCTGCCACCCAACTGACAATTGATTTTTCTGCAGGACAATATACCACGACTCGAAAGCGAAATTCCCATACACACCAGCCTCAGCTGTACCACCCTCCGCCACAGGCGAGCAAACCCCCTTCAGCGCACACCCACCCGAATCGACAGACTACGAGGCCGGTTTGACCGTCATCGGGGAGTTCGACACCGTCGAGGAATTTTGTCGTTACTTCAATTGGCTTAAGCCCCCTTCAAAGCTAGAAAAGAACTCGAACTACCACCTCTTCAAATCGGGGATCAAGCCCATGTGGGAAGATGAGGCGAACGCGAATGGGGGCAAGTGGGTCCTGACGATGAAGAACAACCCGCAGCTCCTCGATCGGTGCTGGAATTGGCTCGCGATGGCGTTGGTTGGGGAGGAGCTGGAGGAGGGCGACGAGATTTGTGGTGCTGTTGTCAGTTTGCGGACAAAGGTGGATAGGATCCAGGTCTGGACGAGGAGTAAAGACGAGGTTGAGAAGTTGAACAGTATAGGGAAGAAGCTGGTCAAGTTGTTGGATATTTCGGAGGCGGATAGTATTGGGCTTGAGTTCCAGGTACGTTCTATTCAGTCCCCCTTGATCAGCGTTGCTCATTGCAAATTAGTACAACACCGACGATCGCCCTCTTGCTAACAAGTTCCTGTCCATTCAGTCTATGCCCACCACGGCTTATCGCTCTTCCTTCCAGGCACCGCCAGGCGGCGGGCACGGCGCCTCCAGGTCCTTTGGAGGTGACCAACCACCTGTTGCTGGACCAGCAGGTAACGCCGGTACTTTCGGGCAATTTGGCGCGGGCGCTGGAAGCGGAACATGGAAGGGTTTGAAGCGTGCATGAAACGTGAAGCAGGTCCTGATGATTGTACAGAGAAGAAACAAAGCGCGAATGCAGTCATTGTATCATCGATTACACAGTCGTAAGAGAGAAGTCAAAGCTACTACGTTATTGGACTATTGAATGACTTTTTGTAACGTCTATAGGGGAATCAGAGTTGGACAGTTTGATTCCAATGCTAGTGACTGTTGACTGATATGCCTTGAGGTTGTGAGCCAGAAGATGCATGCCGCGGCGTCTTGAAAACCCCCCACCAACTGCCCAGCTGGCAGCCATCGACGAGCATACAACTGGCTCACTTCGCCGTGTTCGTCACGACTCACAGCCTCCGTCCTGGGGCGTTAGCTTTTGTGTGACTCAATTTTTTGAGTATCACAGCTTCCGCGATGTGCATGCGATTTGAAATCCGAATTCCACGAGGCCTCACTAACAATTACAAGGGGAGAAATTCAAACACTGCTGGCATTCGCCGTTCGTATTCACGCCGCGAACCACACGCAAAAACGACGCTAGAAAGTAAGTAGTTCATTTGCCAGCGGGCTGTTAGGCCGAACTTATTAGTTCCCACATCTCACTGCTCAGGTGTCAGAATGATTCAGCCACTAAAAGCGTCCGCCTTGGGCTTCCGAGTCCTCCTGATCATGAGCTAGCTGACGCCAGCTTTCCTCGATTCAAACGGAGATTTAAGGTCCATCTTTTGAACTTGAAGGTCAACGTTCGTTAACGTTCAACTTCCAATCGAGTCTCAAGGCCTTCTTCCGATACCATGGTGCTTCTCCCCTTCTGGGACCGTTCAAGACAAGTCCAACAGCTTGAATTTTACCCGGAATCATTTGAAGACTAGGTGCGCGGGGAAGAACTCCCGCCGGATCGTCAAAGTTTGCACGATACGGTTGAAGCGACCGGACGATCATGTTCAGTCGGGCCATGGATATGATTACCGTCTGCTTTCGCTTTGATAGATCTGTGACTTGTTGATTGACATTTACCATGCCGCAGACGTTGGAAGCCACCCATGATGACGGTAGATCACCGATGATTCGGCCGCATCGCCATTTTACCTGACTGGGAGGCAAGCCTGGAGAAGTAGAGCATTTCTAAATTTTAGGCCGAGGTCCAGTTCCTCCCGTGGCTCCTGGAGAACGCCAAGATCCAAGTGCCTTTCATCGTCGCTGTCGATCCCTCGGGCTCCAATTTTTCGATCCAGGAGAAGATGCCGGGATTTACTATTGGGCACTGCGAAGGTATGAGAATACCTCTCAGCCTCGCACTGTCCCTTGGCATCTTTTTTTTTGTCAGCCTACGCCAACGTAGGGCTCGAACTTTTGTCAGCTCATGTATAGCACAGAAGTAAGCAGACAACCGATCCGATCTCTGTCGATACCGCTATTGTGGCTACATTCTCGGCCAAACCTCCTTTGCAACATGGATCAGAAGGGATTGTGGGTGCCACTGGGTGGCACGAATATTTATTTTGGGCAGTGGACAGACAACTTATCCGATATCCGCTGAGACTTGGCTGAGACCGCTACTGTGGGAGCATTGTCTCGGCCAAACCTCGAGCGCTCTTTGTTCTGACTCTGAGCCCAGGCTTCGAAACCAATTGGGGATGTATTGTACACACAGATGGAAGAAATACGTGGAATCAGAAAGGAGTTGTGGGTTGAAGGCACGAATGTGGGTTGAGGCAACTTGAGGGCGACACCATCCGATCCAAATACAATTACTCAACAACTTCACGAAGTAAAACTCTAAGAGCAGTCATGGATATCGACCAAACATTGTTTTCGTTCTCTGGACAAGTTGAAGGTAAGATCTGCGGAATCCGGAGAAGCACCTCAAGTCAGAAGTTTTCAACCTCCCATTTCCCTTTGTTGTAGAGACTGTTAGATCTTCGTCAATAAAGATATCAACTGGCTTGTAGGGGTCTGCCTTTCCGAGGCACAGCATTCCGGATTCCTGTGATTGGGGGAGATTTCTAGATATCACGCGAACGATCCCGTTGGATACCTTTCGGGATGGAAGATATCGACGTTGAGGGCTCGGAACGATTTTCCAGACAGTTGATGTGCTCAGGTGTCCAGCGCTTTCCAGACGGACATGTCGAAGGGAGCGCGAAGGTGATTAGATTGATGGATACGAGTAAACTCATTGTCATCACCTAAATGGGAGGGATACCGTGCGATGGTACCATGGGGTAGGAGGACAGGAAATGCTGACCTTGATTCAGAACGCATGTTCCGCGGAAAAGTACGTCGAATACAACCCGCATGATGTCAAGTTCGACATTAAAATGAAGAGATTCAAGTTGAAATAGCTTGTGTGTGATTGTCCAGGGTAGGAAGGGGGAGGATCCATCATCCCTCGTAAGGAAAGGCCCAAGGTAGTGTAAAGAGCTGAGTCGGAGGTGCTTCAAACCATAATTCTCATGATGGGGAAGTCGCTGATTCCCTTCAAGTGAAGATAGATGGGCGAATCAGAGCGGAACGCTGATAACAACGCCTCCTGAACACGGCGAGGGAGGTACTCCCAACTGGTGTGCTTCGCGGTCAAAGTAATTGCTTTGAGATTGGACAGGGAAGGTAAAATGGTTTGGAGCGAGTTATCGTAGTCAGTCCAAAAGATGGAAATCGTGATCAAACGAACATGGATCAAGAGACGCGTTTATGGCCACAAGCAGGCTTGAAGACTCGATTGGTCGCCACGTGACCGTAACACAAATCCCACAACTAAATCACCTTATCTGCCACAGACGCCGACGTGTGGACTAGGTTATCTGGAGACAACGCCGCCGTCACTGCATGCTTGACCACTCCAAGAACGTTGTTGTGTCAGGAGGTTCTCTGACGGTTGTTCACGGAAACTCCATTACATGTGAGGGACAACATGCCGATTATCCAACCAGCAGCCATGCTGGAATTCAAGGTAAGATGTCGTCTATCTCGTCCTATTCGGTCACTGACTGTTTTTCTTGCATCAGGATTGAAATTACTCTATGACAATATCGCGGCGAGTGCGATGCACAACTCCAAAGAACGTTATGACTCTCCCAAATGCCACCCCGACACTCGGAAAGCAGTAGTGAGCGACATCACCAGTTGGATTTCGGATCACTCCAAGAAGAATTGTATCCTCTGGCTGAGTGCTCCAGCCGGCTCAGGAAAATCGGCCATTCTGCAACAAATAGCAGAAAACTTTTATAATTCTGGGGGATTGTCTGCAAGCTTCTTCTTTTCTCGGACAGCTACGAAGAGAAACACGGAGACCTTCCTTATCGCCACGCTCGCTTCCCAACTTGCAACTTCGATCCCAGCCACTAAACCACTTATCGAAGGAGCGATTGAGCGAGACCCGTCCATCTTCCACCGCGTCCTCTCTGAACAGATGGCCCGTCTTGTGGTTTACCCGCTGGTGTATGCTTCACTTCATCCCGAAAGCGGCGCACCGTGGCC